GTCACACTTGCAATACAAGATCGATTCTCAGTTGGTCTTTCGATAAATTATGAAACTCAACACCCTAGGTTAATTAGGTCCGCTTAAATTAACCGTCAAGTTCTCCTTAAGTTAATGAATTGGATGGGTTTGCGCAACGCAATTCACAACATTCTCCAAAAGTCCTTTACGTGAAAAGCACAATAAAGATACAATCAAAGATCATTAAGCATCATGAAAACTATAAGTGTTGACGAGGCATTCGTTACTATGAAAAGCATGAAACTAGTGCCAAGAATTCATTTAACGCGATTGTTTATAAGCAACCTCCACTACTTGTGAATATAAGTTCATAACGATTAGGTGAAACTCACTTATATTCTAGCGTCATATTTATGCATGAAAATTAAGCGTGCACTCTCAATAAACATACATAAATAAGTTATCAATCAAATGGTTAAACAAATTGAATCCACAACTTATGAAATTCCAACCAAAGGTAATCAATTCATATTGCAAGCATAAACATAGTTTCGAATCACCCCCTAGCTAAAGGGTTTAGTTCCTCATACTTGCAATTAAACAAAAACAATTGATATTAAACATAGAGAAACAAAGTAGAATACACCTAGAATGCTCCAACAACTCCAATGGAATGGCTAGCACAACTCCAAGCACTCCTCCTTCTTTGCAAGCCTTGGAACTAATGGAAATGTGTATGAATTTCTGTGTGTCTTCCTTGAAGGCTGAATGGTGTTTATATAGAGGTTGAAAATGAAAAGAATTTCAAGGCAATGGACATGACAACTCACGGCAAAGAAGAAAGGATGCTGCCAGCTTTGTTTTTGCATGTGTGTGTGCTGTTTTTGTGCTCTTTCCACCTAGAAACAATCATTCCAAAGCCACCCAAAGTTATAAGTGGAAGACCAACCAGAAATCCACCTCATAGTGGTCCAATTTCTGCCATTCCTTGCTGTCCATTCACTACCAAAGTTGTAGAAATCTGCCAACTCCATTCCATTGCCGTGTGTGTGTGTTTGTGTTGTCATCATCACTTCCCACTCTTCCATGCTTTTAATTTCTGATTCCTTGCTGCCCATGTGGTGTGTGTGTTGCTGTTTTCTTTCCTTCTTGCTGCCCATGTGGTGTTTATACTTGCACATGCATGTTCTTCATCCATTTAGCTAGCAATAAACACATTTTCTGCCATCACATGGTAGCTATGATGTTTGAAGTTGTAGGCCAACACTTTGCACACACACATGTAGATTTCTAGCCCATTGAATCATCAAATTCGTCCATCCTCATGTCTCGATGTTTGCACCATCCAATCTTGGCCCAAAATGCTCCAAAGTGCTCCAAAATGCACCTTCTTGCATCCTTGGCCCAAAGAACCTACAAACACACAAAAATGGCTTAAACTACTAACATAACTAAGAACTAAGAACATAAATGCACGAAAACAAACATACTAAGTCGCATAAATATGCTCCTATCAGAGATTACCCTAGGGAACTAAGGGAAGGCGGCCTTGGTGAGTTGGTTTGCATAATTTCAAGTTGCCACTCATGTTTGAGGGATTATTAAAAGGAAGTTATATGCAAAAGCTCATTGTTTTCTTTGGAGAAAGGAGAAACATTTCACTCTCTCTTTCTCTACAAGGAGGCCGGCCATACCTAGGAGAGTTTATTAGCATCAAACTTCTCCTAGGTAATCTATCTTATCTTTACACTACATCATTGGTGTAGAGACTTAGAGGCACCAAGCCTTTGGTGCTTTTGGAGTTCATTTCTTCGCATCCTCAAGGAGCAAAGGAGAATCAAGGGAGCAAAAATCACAAAGAAGAACCAAGGAGCTAAGAGGCGACTTAAAGGCCCTCTACTTGGGTGAATCCCTTGTGTAAACAAGGATGAGCTTTAAGGGTAATGAATCTCAAAATCCTTTATTCTCTTTCATATTGTTAAAGAGTCTTGTGGTTCACCATTCACTAGGCTTTGAAAGTCATGGGTTTTAGGATTGTTTTTTAGTGCATACTTACTTTAAAGTGTTATATGTATGCTTGTATGCTCAAATATTCTTGTATGTTTTTAGTTAGGACAAAAGAATTAAATTACGAGTAGTTTGATCAAAGGTTCTTCGTAATATGAGCAAATATTTGTGATATTCTATCTTTTGGTGGTCGAAGTTCCCTATGTGATCATCTTCTTAAAGTTGTAGAGCTTCGCTCTCACTTTCAGACATATTCATACTTTTCACAGCATAGCAGCGAGATATGGCTTGATCACGTTTAATATCCTTTACTTCATCACATGCAGCATATCAAAGTAGCTAGCGGTACAATGATGGAATTTCTCACATCTTGTAAAGCCAATTTTGGCCCAAGATGGCCTTATTCGGAGTCAGATAGTCCATGATATGGAAGTATACTATAATGTTATAGGGTTTCACCTGAACTGCTAGCTTAACTGTCCCGACTAATCGAACTTGAGTACCCACGAACGTATGTAGAGTAATCTTACTTTGATTGATACAATCTAGAATTCTCATCCTCTCTGCTGCTTTTTCAAACATGAGGTTAACTCCATACCCATTATATATTAGCACTTGGTTAACCATCGCACTTGAGATCTGAACCTTTATAACCAGGGTGTTAACATAATGAGAGTGCACATCTTCCAACTATTAATCAGAGAACATCAAAGATATTGGAATAAATCAGGAGTGGTTTGTTGTGTCATTTTCCATACTGCATTCATTATTTTTTTCTGGTGTTGCCTCGATACTTATGTTGCCCATAAATGCAGTTGATATTAAGGGTTAGCTTCTTAGCTAGTTGTCGATCATCTTCCTCGAAGTGAATTCAGAGTTGTCCATCTTAACCCTGTCATTCATTTCAATAGGATCCTCCATCTAGGCCTTTGGTTTCATGAACTCCCAAGAATATCTCTGATCAAGCAGCTCCTCGTTGTGATCGAGAAGCATTCCGAAATTTTGAGTAGTGTGCTCAGAGGATTGGTGGAAAGATTAGTATTCATTACGATTTTACTTGACTAAATGATCAGTAAGAGGTTTGGGCATTTTAAGAAAAGGCTTTTCCTTGATGCTATAAAGGATGTTGTTGACTTTGGTATTCAAAGCAGTGTATTTCTTTGGATGAGACGAAGTTGACCTATCCATACTTCGTCTCTTGTCATTCTAACGGGAAAAAGGAGGCGAAGTCTTCTATTCATCACTTTTTTAAATTGTACCTCCCATCTTGGTTTGAGGCGAATTTTTTTTTTAGCTCTATCATCTCAGTCGAAAATGTCATCAGCTTTTTGGTCGAGTGGAATAATTACATTTCTTCTACCTTTGCAATAGGACAGAGGTGAATGGCTACAACCTTGCTGATCTTGGGGAACACTTTGCTAGAGAGTTGATTTTGAGCGTTAATTGGTGCATCCTTAGGGTTATTACAGTTCAATGGTATGCGCCGCTCTTAGTTTTCAAATGACTCTGGATCGACATTCCTAATAACCACAAGGAAGGCTTTTGCAGTATCCAAGGGATTAAGATTGCATTGAATCCGAATCCCCTTGCAGAGGTATGACTTACAGTCCAACCATGTTGAGTGTGAGCTTGGTGTTGGGGTTAGAACAAGCATCATCATAATAAGTTATTTGTCCGAGGTTATTGTACTCAAGTTACTAAGTCTGAAGAGATGCACTTGGGTTTGGAGAGTGACTCTACGAGCATTATCTAGGGATTTTATGTACCCTTCTTAGTTAACAAAGTGCGAACGGTTCTCAGGGTAAGAAACCTTTGAAATCTTCTAAAGATCAATGATAGAGGCACTAATCTTCATCAGAGTCTCCCAAATCTAGCCCATGGTGTGGGGAGCTTTGCCATCAGGACGTTATTGTTTGTCAAAACGACAGAGGTGTTAAGAGGTTAATTATTTCCACCCTTGGTATGGGCGTTAGAGCTCCTAGAACTATCTTTAGCAGGCATGCCGATTTAGTAGAGTGATTTGGTCGGGAAAATATGAGTTCAGCTCTTAATGAAAGTACTAATTGTTGGAATCAAATTTGCGCACCACCACATATAGATGAGCTACACAAGTCAAGCTAACTGTAAGAAAGAAAGCAACCATGAATTGTCTTAAGGTACAATATGATACCAACCAAAGATTGTTAGATCCCACATCGCCCAAGGGAGTGGATCCTCTATGCCTTATATGTGCATGCTCACTTCCTTTAGCACGAGGCCTTTTGGGAGCTCACTAGCTTCAAGTTCCATCGGAACTTCGAAGTTAAGTGAGAAAAGGGTCAAAGCATTCCCAGGATGGGTGACCCACTGTGAAGTTTTGCTCGCGTGAGTTCTCAAAAATAAAACCGTGAGGGCGTGGTTGGGGCTCAAAGAGGACAATATCGTGCTACATCGGAGTTGAGCCCGAGATGTGGTGGATCTCGAGTTGAGATGTGACAAAGACTCTTCAACGATCAAGGTAGTAAGCAATATTGAGTCTCAAGTCGTGGGCAATACAATAAGCAAGGAGTATGCAAGAATGAATTGCGTTACCAAAGTTATTCCCTAGATGAGAGTATTTATACTAGTCGGGAAATGGACCTTTTAGGATATGGAATCCGTATTAAACTGGGAGAATCCAAGAGGGTATCTAGGATTACATATTATTTTCTCTTAGAAGTGCAATATGAGTAAAGTTGTTGAGTTCATGAACGGACTTCTAAAGTACATGTATTCTGACCTATCTTACTCCAATCTTGAAAAATCATGGTCCCTCATCCCATTAATGACCAATATATACTTTCCAAAAATGTTTGGAGGAAAATGAAAATGAATAAAGGCATTGAATAAATTAGACAGAAATGATTTTTGCACTTATTTTTTTGTTCCTGATTACTTTTTAATTTTATTTTAACCTTTAGATTCAATAAGTAAGGGAATAATTTAGACATAAAAGCAAGGGGATGAGTGGATAGCAAAAAACAGGAGTGCAAAAATCATTTTTTCAAAACTTTATCCAGCCCACAGATTTAAACCCACTGTTTATTTTCAAAACCAGTTCTAAAGAATTCCATTGCATCTATTAAAGGACCGAAGACGCAATTTGTTAGTGCACAATTTCACTGAAAAAAGACGCTACTTATAGAGGCTAATGAAGGGCAAGACGAAACTGCAGATGCTTCTGGTTATCAATTTTCTAGCATACAAATTTCTAAATCGGATTGATGATTTACCAGAGGTACATGTTCAATAATAAAAATATTATCACTCTTTTTTGTTCTTTTTTTAACTTATGGATTAAAATTTTAATAATGTGCATTGTAATGATATTACTTTGTTTCCTGCAATTGCTTTCAACAATTTTATTTTTCTTTTGAACGTGTTTATATTATTGCTTCATGAAGGTGAAATGAAAAAAAATGTATGATTTGAAAACATAGGACTTGTTTGATGTCCATTTTGTCTTTGGTTTTTCATTTTTGTGGTAGAATCAGAGAGGAAATACAATAGAGAATTTGAGTGTATTGTAAATGGCGGTGGTGGTGGTGAGGCTATAGGGCGATGGGGGTTGTGGTGGTGAAGGTGGTGGTGGTGAAATGGCAGGTGGTGAAAGGTGGAGGGTGGAGGTGGAAGTGGTGCAATTGGGTTGAAGGTGTTAAGTTTGTTCTAATAAGGGGCAATTTTTTATTTTATTTTTTATTTTTTGGGAAAGAGGAAAATTGTAAAGTAAAATAAACACAAATAATGTTTTGAATAATAAACGGCATTAGATATGGATATTGATGCCATTTACAAAAAATTAATGACAATGTTAGATGGATTAAAATTTTTATATATCTATATAGAAAAATCAAGAACAACAAGAAACATAAATGTTATTATTATTTTTCATTCTATTGGTATAAGATGAATGTTTTTTTAACTAAAAATAGAAATAAGAGAAATTTTATTTGAACCCATATAACCTTTTTCTGCACCTAACTTACTCTTTGCACCCTTTTGATTTTTAACCAAACTACCAATATCTCTCTAACCCCAAATTTACTGCCTAAAATACCCTCACAAACCCAATTCAACATGTAAATTTATCATTTACACCCACATAATTTTTAATCCTATTACATTATGAAATGTATTGGAGCGGTTCATCCTCAAGTTTCCTCAAGTCCAAAAGCTTAATTTTCTTCTCTTTCCCAGATTTCACCATTAGAGGGCCATTATGGTGGAATGCAATTGCAAAGACGACTCCCTTGTGACACAGAAGTCTAAGTAGAGGACTAGAGCTTGTAGGCTTCCACATGAAAACTGTACCAAGTGATTGACCTATAGGGAAAAAGATTCTCTCCAGATCTCTCCCTCTAAAGCCCATTGATCAAGTGATCCGAGCCTTTAAAATTTGATCAAACGGCTAAAAACAGAGAAGTTAGTAAAAACTTTTAAAAGCTATAATAATTTTTAGTCATTGGATCTAATTTTTAGAGACCTAGATCACTTGATCCGTGATCTTTGGAATGAGAAATCCAGAGAGGATCTCTTTCCGACCCAAAGCAACAAACCCATTATAGGGGTTCGCCTGCATTGCATCGCATCAGTCCATTAGACATACATGTATTCACCACCTCGAATCGCATCCGCATCTCCTTTTCTGTCTTCTTTAGCCTCCTTTTCCCTCTCCTTCCAACTCTCGTACGACTTTGGTGCCAATTGATGTAAATAGAAATTACTAAAGCCCCTTGATATGTTGGATTAATAAGAGTTCAACAATGCCGAAGCCTTGAGAAAATTCTGAAAAAAAATGCCTAAATATTGAAGAATCATAGCCACTAAACTTAACGGATGATATTTTGTGTATATCCGAAAAATTTAGGATGAGGGAGGAAGGAAGAGATGGGAAGGGAACAGATGGCAGCAGCAGAGAAAAAGAATAAAAATATAATATAAAAAGTTTGAAATTTGACCCAAAGAAAAGCAAACTGAATCGAAAAGTCCTTGCAATGTCTAAGTCCTTTTGGTGTTTTGGGTTGCAAAGAGATACCGGGAGAATGTCTGCAACAATTCATTGTTGCATAAAGTTTAACAAACCATGGAAGATTGATTAAAAAAAAATTGAAACCCAAAGACTCATCTTCTAAAATCTAAAAAATTTGAAATCAAATGAATAACAAATCCATAAATCGAGTTATATCTTAGTTGAAGGATTCAAAACTTTAAATCACCATCCATCAATAAAAAAGCTTGCCTTTCTCTATAAGAGGTATTAGGGTTTTAGGCGGAATGAACGTAAGATAAACAATGAGTGATGACAAGGTTTAATTATTATAGTTTGTGGGCTTATTGATAAATTTGAGTTTTATTATTAATTTTATTTTGTACTTAATAGTAATTAAGCAATCGGGTAAAAAAGACAATTAACATTAAAATTTAAGTTAGATGTAGAAAGATATTACATGAGTTTAAATAAAATTTCTCGATGCTAAATGCAGCCTCCAATACTAGTTGGGTCCAAGAGTTTTTATTTTATTTTATTTATTTTATTTTTAATATTTTTCATATATTTCTATTTTTAGTTTTGTACATTTTTTTAATTTTGTTCAAATAATTTTTTTCTTTTAGATTTAATTTCTACCTATGTATTTTAATTTCATTATACGCTAGCTCATGTTTTTAACCTTGATTTGTATTCCATAATTTTAAGTTTTAAGATGTACTCATATTTTTAAATTAGTTTGTACCCACATATACTTGTTGCTTAATGTACTCACGCTAATTATATGTATTTATTTTATGTTTAAAATATATTAATAGTTATTTTAAAAATATTAATAATTGCGTGTACACATTGTTTTTTGCAAGAACTATATATGTATGTGAAGAACATTATTACTCTGTTGTTGATTTTTAAGTAATTATTACAATGATGTTAAGGACTTTCATCAAAATATTTAAACAAACATGATTTTAGTTTAACAACTTAGTTGACCAAGGACCGAAAAGAAGGTTAATTCTATCATTAACAAATTAATGTATCTTGGATTAATTACAGTTAATTACTTTGCCTAGTAAAAGTGAACACCACTCTGGGGACACGGAGGGATCCAAAATGCAGTTTTGCCATCATATTCCAACTGGAAAGCGATTCCGATCACTCAGTGATGCAAAGAAGTGGATGAAAGCACATGAATTAACTTATGCTCAATTTGAGTAATTGCATACCCAGACTTAAGGTAAATGCTTAAAGAGTTTTTCTTAGGCAATCGGGAAGCCTGAAAAAGGTGATTTTCAACCGTTGATGTGTGCGCATAAATTATTTATATGTAGAAGTAATTTGCTGCAAAACATCCATTTACATTGTTGTTGACAATATTCACGTACGTACCTAAATGATTACGATGTTATTGCATGTTTTCACTTGCTTCACAGAGTTCTAAACCCGCACAAAATAGCACTAGAAGAACAAGGAGAAAAGCAATTCAGGTTCCCGATCATATGAAGAATCGATGGCTCGAAACTTTTCTATCTGCGGCAGCTGCCAATCTTCAAAATTTATGAAGCTTGAGAATGATTCTAATCTAGTTCATGGCCCATTAGATGTAGAAGGCGCTCTGGTGGGATCCTCACCTATATCAAAGGTTTAGAAGGCCTTTGTCCTATCTATTAGACAATGGACGCCTTTCATTCCAATCTTCCTATTTGTTGTTCGGAAAAATAGTTGATAACTAGCAATGAATGCCCGCTCAATGCTGTGGGTTTGAAAGAAGAGTGCAATATCTTGAAACAAATGTAACTGCAAAGGAAAATAGCAGTTTGCATCATTGAATTGAACTAAAAACATAGTAATGCCATTAAATCTCTCCTCTCAGAATTACATGGTTCGTTGTAAATAGTAGAATTCAACTAAATACTTTCAATAAGAACAACTGAAGGCATGCATCTAAATGGTAATATTGTTAATTACCAATCAATTTCCTCACATTTATTATCAAATGCAAATGCATCATCATACCACCTCTGTTGTTGCATATCCTCATCACCAGCAAGTTGATCTCCTCCTGGAAACAAAACCCCCCAAATCATTAAAACAAAATTTGCACAGAAAACCAATTTGGAAAATTTACAATCCTAAAGACATAATATTCAAACCAAAAAATGACCAACACAAAATTGGCCAAAAAACTCACCAAGAAACCCAATCTTTTCTAGGAAAAAGATTTTCTTTGAATATGCACCAGATTTGCGGTTTTCAGAAGATTTTCTCGTTAGTAGTTTCTGAGAGAACTGAGCAGCTGTTCAACTGAAGGTTGCAATTCGAAATGGAAGTTGTTTTGAGGGAAATGGAAGGTGAGGTTTCTGTTTTTGTCATGGCCATCTTAATAGTTGGTCCAAAAGATGTAGGCCATGCAATAAGAAACAAGAAAGATACAGATTAACCCTTATGGTGGCTAGAGGCCGCAGTACCTGCGAGTCAAAGATGGGGAACGATGTCTCCATATCGTGTGAATACTTCTTCAAATCCATTACAATGTTGCTCGTCCTCATAGAAGTTGAAGACGTCCTAATCATGTGTAGATGCTGCAAAAATATATATGAAAGTTGTCATTCACTTGATCCAAATGGTAGTTCTACATAGACATAATGTAGAAGACAAAACAGAAGGAAACAAATATTGTAGCAGCATAAGTTCAATAATTGCAGCAAGCAAACAAACAGAAACTTTACTCACTTTCAAAATCCAAATCACAAAATGAAACAAATTGAATGAACTATGAAAGAAAATTTATTCACTGAATTAGAATCAAACTAATGAAATTGAATTGAACAAAACCTTTACTCAAATTTATTGAATGGTGTTTATGAAATGTAAAGAGAATGTTACTCACATAAAATATTAAGCACACGTCCATACACACCATCTTCTCTTGTCTGTCTCAAATCAAGTTCCTTTTTATACAGGTTCTCACCAAATCAAACCCAAAAGCTCCTTTTGTTACATAGACCAATTTCATCCACCAAAAAATTTTGCACCGCCCATGAAAATTAAGCATTGACTCACTAAGAAGAATATGGACAAAGACAGAGGGGATACAGGGTGGATGAGATTAGAAGGAATAGACACGGATAAAAAATTATAAATTTAAAAAATAAAATCATACGAAGAGATCGTCTAACAACTAATGACAAAGGAGGGGAACGGGTTAAGAGCATGTGACCTTTCCTTGGCATAAATTTGTACATGCAAGTTTAATTCCAATGAAACAAATACGTGAGTAAAGCAAAAGACATCAAGGCTCCATGTACTGTTTTATAATTATCACAATCTGCTGATACAATACCTAAGATATTTTAGACATAAAGATTTTCATATAAATAAAGCACCTCACCTAAACAATAACTGAGGTTGTGGTATTTGAACCAAGTAGGTAGATGCTTTGCAAGGTCTTCTTCAATACCATCTCATATTCCCTTTCCATTTTTCCTGTATGATACAATAAATAAAATTAAGGACCCTTTTTAGAGATTAGGAGGGAACAAATAGATATAATGGGACGTAAGAAAGCACAAACTTGTCAAAAATAATTTATTATTTTCAATTTGATTTAACTTTCCAAATGAAGCAAACCCCCAAGATAACCAAGCAATTCAAACAATCCCTATACAATTGACAAAGACAATTTGAAAAGAAAAAATCTATATTAATCAAAAATACAGATGAAAGCATGGTTAAGATGTATTCTATGTCAAAAAACCTTTACTTTCATAATCTAAATCCAAAAAAAAGGTTGCGAGGGATCTATTAGCAATTAACCAGTTTGTTATAGTTTAGTAGAATACAAAAGGAAAATCCTTCTCTTTTGTCTATTATATGAAAAATCTAAATAAGAGATGGCAGAAGCTGACTATAAAAAAAAAAATGTGCGTATGAGGTATGCATCTTGCTTGAATGTTATCCATCAATGGTAATTCTCCAAATTAGAACCCCAAAGCCAAATAGGGCAACTACATATGTATTAAATTCACAATAACAAATAAGTAAAATTGATCAAAATTTACCTCCATCAAGCAAAATTTAGCATCTTCCAACTTCACCATTGCAGGTGGACTCATCAAAACCCTAGTTGAATCAAACCAAAATCAAGATTACCAAAGTTAATTCCAACCGTTAATTTCTATAAACACCTCAAAAGGTAAAACAAAACGAAATTGAAGGGTTTTACATAGATTTGCGAATGCAAGAATTTGAATTTCTAAAAACCCACTACTGTAAAACCCCCCAAATCCTGCGATTTATACCCAAAAAGAAAGAAAATTTCCAAAACATGAAACCGTAAAAACCAAAAACCCATAAATCTGCCCTCCTTGAGGAACCATTCGAGATTCAAATTGGAGAAATCACATAGAAGGGACTGGAGATTATCACATACCGACTTGGAAGAGGCAACCTTCAGGCTAGAAAATCGTGATCTGACAATCGTATCCACCTCCTCTTCCTCGGCTAATGATTTGAATGCTTCGATTTCTGAGCTTCTTCTCATTCTTTGGTTTTTAGGGTTCCTTCGAAGTGGCGTATCAAACTTCGGAGCTTCTTCTTCAATCATCGTGATTCTGCAAGCCGCAATCTCTGATAAGATCCAAATCTCTAGGCCCTTAACCAACCTGCAAGTAACACAGAGGATAGAGATGGAGAGGGAAGGAAGAGAGAGAGAGCAGAGCTCTTGAATTGTTTTTGTTTATATTTCTTTTATGTAAATTCTAATATGATACTTTTGAGGGAGCTGTGCTCCTTTTATACAGCCTCTACACATTTAAATGCCAGTTGGCATATTAACAATTGCTCACAGTAATAAAGCATAAAACTTCAGTAATAACTTGGGTCATAACAATACTTGCCCCTTGAAAATTAGCCTTGTCCACAAGGCTAAAACATTTGGATGTGGGAACTTGTTTGGAAGCAGTAGCACGTTCCCTTGTGATGGTCATGTTCTCAATTCTAGATATGCCCATTGCAATCCCAATATCAGCAAGTTTCAAAACAGGTGCATCATTCAGTTGTTTCAAAGCACTAGTTGACATCTCATGAAGGGCTTGCACGATATAGTTCCTTGAGCTATCATCCAGTGGTACAACAGTGCCATCAAGCAACTAAACCTTAGTGCTTTTCTCAAGCAAATTCTTTACAGCACTCTTCATTAGCAATGACTCTTCCCCTGAAACTGAGTTGACAATTACACCCATGGATTTCTTATTGCGATCATACTCAAGGGTTGCAGTTCGACATTCAAATTCACTCCACTTCTGGCAACAACCAAGAAAATCCCTTCCATTTGATGATTTCGCACCCTTGGACTCTTAAAAAAGGACCATCTTCTCAACTAAAACTTTGGAGCTGCCTGAGTAGGCATTCCATGGGCAACATACTTCTGTTCTGCCTGTTCAATGCTAGCATTATTGTAGACAACAGCTACCTTTGCGATCATTTGAAGATTAGCATCCATTTGACCAGTTGGCTGGTTAAGAATTGCACCATCAAGTGGATTGTATGTAATTCCATCCACCCTAAACTTCAGTAGTATAATAGGCCTAGGACTCTAAGGTACAAATTTTGCCACTACCATTTGGTTTGTAATCATGGTCCCTGTTTTATCATAAGTTCCAATCAACACATTTGCTACTTGAATATCATAGGTTGAGCACTGCCATTCCCTTTCCAAGTAGGAAGCAAAGTGATGTCTCTAAACAATCAGCACAGCATTACCACTACCTTTTTTTTATCAAATTTGAAGGTCCAATCTATTCCTATAAGTTCAGCCTTGTTCACTTCAACCTTTGAAGGCTGAATCTCCTCAAATCTCAAAACAAGCTTTGTTAAAGTGCAAGCCATAATTGACTCAAGAAAAAATTCACAAGAATGTAGACATTGTAAATGTTTCACCTCATGTGATATGTGGCCCTCAAAAGATTGAACTAACTCTGAGCCTTTTTCTCCACCTTCTATGCAGTGCACCATGCTAGCAAGTTCAATGCCGAAAAGGGCTTTAATAGAGTTTGGACTTTCACTAGAACCTGACGATTGTAGAGAATGAGAAATGGTGTATAAAAGCTGTGACCAACATTCTTTCGCATCCTGTTGCATGAAGGTACTATTATACTGCTGACCCAAATGAGGGTACTTGTTGAGCAATACCATCCAAAATTGCATAGGTACCATAGCCTTGATACCTTTATCCAATTCACTAATTAAAGCATAAGCTGTAATAGTCAGCCTATGAGAAGTTTGATCCCTCTCATCATTTCTTTCAAAATGAGAATACTTGATCAAAGCTGATTTCAACTCTGGAACAGAATGCAGAAAATGTATAGTGGAGTTCATATAATAGGTGTTTCCCAAGTAAAATAAACCGACATCATAAACCAAGTTAATAGGTATTTTAACAAGGTTTTCTTCTATGGGTACTTTGCTGCTAGGATCCCCACTCAAATTACCCTGGGCATCTAACTCAATATCATCCAAACCAACAGAGTGTATAGTTTGATTTATGCCAACCACACTTTTAGCTAACTGAAACATCACAATGTCTACAGGGGAAGATTTTTCATCTAAGCCTTTACTTTCAATAATCTTGATCTTAATGTGGGATACATTAGCTTTTTCTTCATAAGAAATTTCTTTAACCATTTGTTTAATCCATATGGCACTAGTAGCAAAACCATGTTTCAGGATCAGCTGCTTCAAATAGGAAAACCAACATTTGTGAGAAACATGCCGGCGAAGTTGCACAGATGCAACCCATTGGTCAGGGATGACCTGAACCCTTGAACATGATTCACACCTATATTCAATTACTGCTCCACTAAGAGTATTCATAATACTGTTATTGATACAGGACCCTGACAAGTTCAGAGCTAAATAACCATATATCAAGAGCTTCAAATATACTGAG